TTTTTTATTATTGTCATTAGTGATGAGCTCAATTTCGGCTAAAAGAATTGACAAAATCCTACACACTGTGCCTTTAATTGGCTAAAACTCTGTCCTTTTTCAACACGTGAGTTTAAGTTTAAACCTGGTATTTCCTTTTATTGTCTATATTTAGCGATCATGAGATTTATGTGCACTATATTTAAAAGATGTTGAAGATGCATCAATAGGAGGCCTTTCTAAATTCTAAGTTTACCCTCTTGTTTGACGTATGAGCAAAACCTGCTGGGACTAATAGAAAAAAAAATCTTTATATTGTTAAAACTTTCCATAATGTTTGAGTTGACTCATAGCTGGAACTTTCATGTCAACTAAGCTAAAAGTGTGTCAGAGGTCGCAGAATCTGTAAAGCCACTGATAAGAACAGGAGGTCAAAAGAGCCTCAAAAGGTCTTTGAAAATCCCTGGAAGTGCCCGAGGTGGCTGCCTCCACGTCTGATGGGGGGGGGTCGTGAACCAGGGAGGGGAGGAGGGGGGTTGTTGTTGCTTCCAGCTTGTGTGGGCAGCAGAATAGAGTTCAGCTTTTTTTTTCTTCTGGGAACACTGGGAACAAGACACAACAGAAGGCCCTTCTGTTCTGCAGCATTGTGGCTGCTTTTGTTCATTCCTGCCCAAAACTTTCTCTCTTCAGCACAACGCAAAACTTTTTCTTTAGCAGGAACTCAGCTGGTAAAAGTGCTGTGTTTGCTGTGAGTTAGGAAGGTCAGCGGGGAGGAATGTGAGCTTTAATTAGTCAGAACCTCATTGAGAACTCAGCTTCTTGATCGCCCCGCTGGGAGCCAGCGACTAAAATAGTTTGAATGAGTTTTTTTGCTTTGTTAATCTCAAATAGGGACATTTGTTAACTGCTTTGGATTTGTGTGTGTAAACAGATGCTTTTGGACCAAATTAAAGGCCCAGCATTCCTCGAAGAAATGCATATCACTCGCCACTAAGACATCTGTTGCTGTTTTCATCAAACCTTGAAAACACTTTATGCTCATCTCATGCAAGAAGTCAAGCTCAGAGTTGAGAATGACTCAGCTACTATTAGGGCTGTGTATTGGCAAGAATTTGGCGATACGATACATATCATGACAGAGGGGTCACGATAAGACATATCCCGATATATTGCGATACTATAAGCAAGGCAATATATTGCGAATTTTTTGTCCAAAAATTCTATTAAATAACAACCTCTTACAGGGAAAAAAATGAAAAACCAAAATTCATTGTTTCAGAAAATTCTAATATTACAGAGACATGCTTTTGATACATTTAGCTGTGTTCTGCTTTGTATGTATTTTATTTTATTTGTTTCATATTTCATCCATGTTTTCAATTATTAGACTAAATT